CCACCTGGCTGGGGCGTCGGCTAGCCTTTTGTCTCTGGAGAACTGGTTTGTGACTGCTCTCCAGATTTCTAATGTATTTTAGTAACGTACAGTAAAATCTTATCATTTTACATACATTGTTCCCAAATGTACTTTTTCAGGACAATAATATCAGTAAGTTGAGTTTTCAATGATACCTCACAAAGCATACTTTGTACAAGATATATAATAGTCCTATAAAAGGGTGAACATAGGGGTAGACTCACAGGGATGGTTAAGGCAAATCACTTGGGTTAGAACACCTCCAGAGAGGTACCACCTGTTAGGGAGAATCAAATATTCGATTTAAACTGTGTTCTTCAGAGACCAACAGCTGGCGAAAGGACTTTTAGTTAATGACCCAAGCTTAAACTGACTCAGGGCCTTTGCTCTGATTCTGGATCTAAAATGGATGAACTTGTAATGATGGGGAAAACCCAGCTTGTGGGTTTTCAAGGACTAAAACGTACCAGAGCCGTAGGTTGAAATTGGAGGTCACCTCCCATGAGCTTTATAGCACGAATTGTTTTAATATGTTTTCTCCATAATGCTTTAACTTTAAGAATAAAAGTGCTTGCTTAGGGTACGTCTTCACTACCCACCGGATCGGCGGGTAGTGATCGATCTATCGGGGATCGATTTATCGCGTATTGTCTAGACGTGATAAATCGATCCCCGAACGCGCTCCCCGTCGACTCCGGAACTCCACCAGAGCGAGAGGCGGTAGCGGAGTCGACGGGGGATCCACGGCCGTCGATCCTACACCGTGAGGACCCGAGGTAAATCGATCTAAGATACGTTGACTTCAGCTACGCTATTCACGTAGCTGAAGTTGCGTATCTTAGATCGACACTCCTCCCCCCTCCCCTCCCCCCAGTGTAGACCAGCCTTTAGACAGAACTGAGTGGTAAATTATACCTGCAGGCAATATACTGGTCTTTGCTTTGATTTCTCTCCAAAGGCTCAAGTGCTGGTGCTGCCCTTTAGGCAGACTGACTTGCTGGGGATATCACAGTGTAATGGAGAGAGCTGTACAGACTTAAAAATCCCTGGTCAAGAGGGAGTGAGATACAGGTCTCCCTCCAATTGAAGTGATGGCTCAGGAACTGGAAGCCCAAAGTGGGTGCCGTTGGTGGACCACAGAATGGGAATACAGCTGCAGTTGTCCTGAAACTATGACATTCAATATACCTCAATTTAAAAAGAAAAAAATCAGCTGCAAACCAAAGAAAAGTATCAGTGGTGCTTTTCTTTCCTGACAATGTATTAGAAATGGAATTTGGTAGTTGTTTACAAAGCATATACTCCATTCATACCATATTAAGAGGAGGGGGAACAGCATTTTTATCTGTAATGAACTGAGAAGGTTCATTAACTTTTTAGTATCGCTACAATGAGTTATACATTATACATGGAATTTATACTTACAGTACAATACATTTATCCTTTGCCCTATTTCAAACCATATGCTTGTACAGAAAACCAAAGTAAACAAGTAATGGTGCTACAATTAACTTTACAGAAGACTAATTAGGTCAATTCCATTACCCTATCTCCGCTGAACATATTTCCTTTTTATAAAGAAGCTTATATATAGCGGCACAGCAAATGACATTTTCTGGTAGAAGGTAATCATAGTTAGTGTAAAATATTGTGCCCCGGTGAGGGGCCAGACTTTCCGAAACACAGTTGTCAGCTGAGCAGTATTGGTCCAGGTGTAACTTCTCAACCCCTTCATCCACCACTAACTCGAACTGTACAGAACCTCACAATTACACCTCCCAAAAATGCAAAATAGAATTAAATAAACAAAACATGATGTGATAATATGTCAAACTCAACCAATCATTCTGCAGGGGTTCTAGAGCAGGGGTTCTCAACCTTTTTGGGCTCAGGACCCATTTGTAAATGTTTACAGCCTGTCGCAACCCAGTAAATAGTCTGGGTGGTGGGAGACATGGAGGCCTTGGGGTGGTTTTGGTCGGATCCAGCCCCAGTGGTGGCTCCTGCAGCTCCTCTGCTATGGGGCTGGCTAGGTTTGACTTTCTGCTCTATCATTGCAACCTCTGGGGTTGCAGTGCCACTCAGGGTTTGGCCCTGCCCCTCTGACTGGACCAAATTTATGTGATTGGAGTTGTGACCTGATTCTTGGGGTTTCAGTGCCACTCCCTCAAATTTGGCTTACCCGGACTCCCAACGTCATGAGGGCTGGACTAGACCTGAGTGGTGCTGGGACCCCAGAGGTTGCAGTACCTGGAGCAGGGAGGTGAGGCCAGCCAGCCCCATGGGACAAGAGCCACAGGAGCTGCCATGCAACCCTTTGAAACATTCTGGTGACCCAATTTGGGTCCCAACCTACAGGTTGAAAAACCCTGTTCTAGAGCATGTTTCCCCCATCTAAGGGCTCAACTGCCCTTACAATATATTTAAAAAACAAAAATTAACCAGTCCCTGCTTCCAAGCTTCTAAAACCTCTCATTTTTTGCCACTGCCACTGCTGTAGCTGGCCTGCAGAGAATGTTAGTCAATCTGGATGACTTTCCCTCTGGAAATAACTTATGACACTTCTTTTATGATGCCCCTATACTTGGCTCAACTTCCCTTCCCCTTTTACCTAGTGATTTCCTGCTCCAAATTCAGGTCCTTCCTCAAAGCCATCAGTAATCACAGATCAAGTGTTCCAAGGGAGGCTTCTTAAACAAAAGATACACTATTTAAAAAAAAGTTAACTACTTGGATTTTTTTTTAAATCAATTTACAGGTATATAAAATAATCCTGTCCTAAGAACTCTTTTTTTTGTTTGTTTTGTTTGTTTTTGTCACCTAATACTCCCCCTCCCCTTTCGAATTTCATGTAGTTACTTATTGTGTTAGCTGCATAAATTGAATTTTTTCATTGGTAAAACCTCTTCACACCTGTGCCACTTTATAAATAAAACCTAATCATCTGGCACCTTTCATCAGTGTTAAATCCATTTCAAAATGTTGGGGGGAGGGAATGTTTCACTTTAAAATATATTTACCATAAAACCCCCACCTCCTTGCTTTCATCATCTGATTGTACTCAAACACACCCCAGACTTCCCTCACTCCTCTTTCCCTACTCTAGCAATTGGTTGTGCTTTGCAGTTGCTTGATGTGGCATAATATGCTGCCATTCTTTGAAGTATCTCTGCCTCTCTGCTGCTGGGGAGACTCAAACACTATGGGCAGGTACTCAAGCTGCTCTGGTACATAAAATAAATTGTCCACAGCCACGTATATTTGCTCTGGCACATAAAATAAATTGTCTGCAGCACAGCATATTTCAAGTAGCACATCTACTTGTAGATGGTGCTGTGGATCTGAGATTAGAATCTCTCTAAAATGAAAAGTGATGTGCAAAATGGACAGAAACAGTGAGCTGCCTCTTATGAGACCATTGGTAACTCTTAGATTTCAATGTTACAGATAGTCAGCCATTGGGTATCTTCGGCATCAGTGTATGAAAAGTAACTATGCATAAGTGCTGTAACTGGAGGTGTGTGTATATATACATTTAGGCCTCAATTAGCAAAGCATATAAGAATGTCCATTCCTATTTGGAAAAGCATTTAAGTATGTGACTCATTGACAATATATGCTTAAAGTGCTTTGAAGTAAAGCATGGCTTAAGTGTCTTCCTGAATATATATATATATATGTGTGTGTGTGTGTGTTCTATAACAGGCATATACAATGGAGGCAGAGATATGTGTGTTTATGCACAGGTGGACAGATAGAACAATAGCAGCTGCCAGCTATCTAGTACTATGTAATACATTTAAGCTGCATCCCAAAACAAAGATCAGATGGCTTGCCAAGCAAAGAAAATGTGTCATATGGAAAGAGATCTCTTGGTAAGAATTTTAAATAATGGAGCCATATTTCTGAGTAACACTTGTAACATTATTGGGAAAACAATCTAAGAACCACACTCCATCTATGTATTTGCACAGTAACATTTTAGCAGCTCTGTTTGCTGTTGTATATGCACAGGTTTGAGTCTCCCATCATACTGGTAATGGGTTACATTTTAAAAGCACTTTCTACTTTCAGGCCCATACATTTAAAATAAAGAGGGGGATTAAATTGACCATCTGTCGAACAGGTAGGGAGGTTGTACAGGCCTTTGTCAGTTCCTGCCTCAATTTAGGCTTCTTAAGATATCTCACCCACCTTGTCACTCTATTGGACCAACTTCTGTTGGTGAGAGAGACAAGCTTTCAAGCTTACACAGAGCTCTTCTTCAGGTCTGGGAAATGTACTCCATGTCACAGCTCAATACAAAGTGGAACAGATTGTTTAGCATAAATAGTTAACACATACTTCCAGGGATCATTCAAGGTGAAATGGTGCATTAATATCTCTCCGGTCATAGCGGGGGAAAGTCGTGGGGTGGGGGTGGGAAGGCAGCTGGTGGGGTTATTAGTGGCTTATAGATTGATGTAACAAGCCATAAATCCAATGTCTCTATTCAGTCCCATGATTTTTAGTGTTTTACAAAGTTAAGCTCCCAGGCTTGTCTTTTGAAAGTGTGGTGCAGGTTTCCTTTGAAAATGAGGACTGATAAGTCAGAAACAGAGTGATCACTTTGTGAAAAATGTTCACCCACAGGTGATAAGGTGTTTTTGTCTCTTATCTTTTTCCTATGTGAATTTGTTCAAGTATATAGTGATTGTCTCGTTTCACCCACACACAGAAGTAAAAGTAAGCTGATATGGTCTGGTACTAGATAGCTGACCATACTGGCCGGGCCACTGGTGTGGGTGGGTGGGGCGCTGCCCTGGGGCTACGGTGTCAATTTAAAGGGCCCGAGGCTCCCGGCTGCTGCTGCTGCACCAGCGGCTGGAGCCCCAGGCCCTTTAAATCGTCCCTTTAAAGCCCCGGGGTTCCTGGCCACTGCTGCTACCAGCCCCGCCCCTTCTGCCTAAGGCGCTGCCCCCTCCCCCCCCCTTGCTCAGGACCCTGGCCGCCCTGCGTACTGGTAAGTCCGTTAAGTTACTTTCACCCCTGCCCACATAGTTGTTACCGGGGGCATTTAGTGCACTGGATAAGGTGCACCATGTGTTGTGATAGGCATGTGTAGGACCTATAGATATTGAAAGTTGTGTTGTGGGAAGTGTTGATCATTGTAGCAGAGAGATGTCTGCAGGTTTTGCATGTGTTGTTCTGGCAGAGTCTCGGGCGACTTTGAATTGGTGTGTCCTGGTCAGTGGGAAGCTTGCTTTTGATGAGGAGCCTGGAGAGGTTGGGGGGTTGTTTGAAGGCCAGAAGAGAGGGTTCAGGATGGATGCGTACTCACTTTTGGCTCGTCATCTTACTTGAATTGTCCTCAGCGTCCAATGTTAAGTGACCAGTTTGGTTATTGGGTCCATCTATCATAAATTCAATTATTGTCTTTATATTCCTTTCAACCGGGAGCAAGAGAAGCTAATGTGAAAATATCTGATTCCTCCTACACAATAGCAGCGATAAACCAGCAACCATGAGTCCATTCTCCCACTGCCAGCAGGTCTTTGGGCCCCATGTGCCACTCCCTATCAGTCCTGCCAACTCTCATGATTTCATTGTGTCCTGCAATATTTGGTGTATTTGTTAAAGGCCCATGTATTTGAGTTCTGTGACTAGATGATAGTCTCAGCTTCTCATTAAAAAAAGAAGTATGTTTCAGCCCTAATCGCTGTGGAGTGAAGCTTGAAATTGTGACCAGTGTGACCTAAAGGTGGAAAAATCTGAAGGCAAATAGAAAGAACCCCAAATGTATTATTTTAAAGTCTTATGACTTCTAAGCAAGGCCCAAGGCAAGTTTCCAGTTCCATTTTTGCATGATCTAGGGTTTCCTGATTGGAGATGTAACTGAGAACTTTGTGTCACTCTTATAATAGAGCCCAGTTTAAAGAGGAAATAGCCCATCACTTGGGCCTCATCTAAGCATGTGGCTGGCTGCATGCTTACCTCCAGAGCACCTGGAGATCATGAGGCTAACTTCTCCATTAAAACAGTGTTTTCAGGCAGCCCTGTCACTCCCCAGTGGAACTGCAAGTTCGTGGGCATGCACTAGTGGCAATTCTGACTACGTCAGCTACAGAAAACCCATTGCCTTACAGGAGCTGTAGGAAAACTGTAGGAAGATTTGGGAGGCTTCATGTAGCCTACTGCATCCAACAAGAATGCAGAGTCCAATAGGAATAATTCCTATAAAGCAACAGGATCTTCAGAGCTTAAGGAAATGCTTGGCAGTCTCAGTCTTAGTCATGTCAAGCATTCAAAAATCATTAGGCCAGGGCCCCTGAAATCATGAAACTGGCTTAAAAATCAGGGTTTTTTTGTTGTTTTGTTTTAAGTGGGTTCTTTTTCATTTGTCTTCTGGCTGGCTTCTGAAGTTGTAAAGTGCACTTGAGTCACATGAAAGCTGAGATTCTTGTGCTTCAAGCACCTGGAGCTTTAAGAAAACACAAAATATAAGGTTACCATACGTCCGGTTTTTCCCCGACATGTCCGGCTTTTCGACAATCAAACCCCCGTCCGGGGGGAATTGCCAAAAAGCCGACCATGTCCGGGAAAATGCTGTCCGGGCACTTCCCCTCCCGCAGCTGCCTCTGCTCCTCCCCTGACTCTTCGGCTCTGTTTAAGAGCCGAGCGCTACGGGCTTTGGGCAGCCCCCATGCCTCCGGACCCTGCGCCGCCGGAGCCCGGGAGGGGAAGTGCCCGGCTGGGGGCGCAGGGTCCGGAGGCATAGGGGCTGCCTGAAGCCCAAGCGCTACCGGCTTCACAGTTTGCCGGGCAGCCTCCAGACCCTGCGCCCCCAGCTGGGCACTTCCCCTCCTGGGCTCCAGCTGCGCTGGGGAAGCGCCGGCCGGCGGTGCAGGGTCTGGGGGCTGCCAGGCAAACCGTGAAGCCGGTAGCGCTCGGGCAGCCCTTTTCGCGTGGCTGGGAGTGGGAGGGAGGAGGGGGCGGAGTTGGGGCGGGGCTGGAGTTGGGGAAATGGGCGGGGTCAGGGCCCGTGGAGGGTCCTCTTTTTTTATTTGTTAAATATGGTAACCCTACAAAATATCATGAGACTCATAGGTGCCGACTCCGTGGATGCTCTTGGGCTGGAGCACCCACAGAAAAAAAAATAATGGGTGCTTGGCACGCACCTGCCACCAGCTGATCAGCTCCTCCCCTTTCCCCCCAGGGCCTCCCACCCGCTGCCAATCAGCTGTTTGGCAGGGGCGGGAGGCAGTGGGGGGGGGAAGGGAGGAGCAGGGGTGGGAAGAGGTGGGGTGAGGGTGGGGCATTAGAGCACGCCTGTGGAAAGCTGAAAATCATCACATAAAATCACAAGAATTCCCAACACTTCTCCCCCCTTTCCCAAGGAGCTAGAGGATTCATGCATCCAAGTTAAGGGGTCACGGACGAGAAGGTGCAATGAAGCAACCTTTTGAGTAGCAGAAATAAGAGCGAGACTAATTCTGAATCAATCCAAACTTTATCAAGGTGCAGGCATGCAGCTGAGCTTCTGGACTGGTTTTAGTTCTTTTTTTTTTAGTACAAATTTGGCCAGTCCCAGAAATATAAAGGAAAAAAATAAATATTTTGTAAAGAAAGTGTTTGTGCGGGGGACAGAAACACTGGCAAGGGGAGAAATCAATGTCGTCTTGGGTAGCAACATACAGAGAGCCTTAGGGGAGTGGATCACTGTTTGTGTATATTTCATCTGAAAATAGTCCAAGGTTCTAGCTATTAACTGCACTACAAACATTTTAGCTGAAATTCTTCAAATAAATTTTGTCTTAAAGCTTTATTACTGTTGATGTATCCTATAGTTGTGATCACTTCCAACTGGTGATTCAATGAAGCTTTGCAAGATTTGTAATTGAACTATTGTGTTCACTGGCTTTTGGGTTGTAAAGGAACAAAACAGTCAGTGAAGGGCTAAATAAAAACAAAAATGTCTGGATCAATAGCCCTGAATAGGGAAATACTGTAGGTAAAAGGGCAGCCCAGGCTCATCTTCTATTCACCCCCTATGTATGTAAATGTAATTCCATTTGCTAGGGGATTAATTTAAATATGAAATACATTTGCAGTGAAAAATAAAGGATATCTCTGCGCATAAGTGAAGTCAAGGTTTTCACATTATTCAGCAATACTGTGATTCCTTGCTGAGATCATGGCACTAGTGTTGTGTGTGTAGAAGGCTACTACTAGAAGCTAGCTTTTGGTTGCAATCACACTCATGATGAGCTTTTTGATCTACCCCTCCATTTTATCTTCTCAGCTGACACTAATAAAAACATGTTTTTAACACTGTCTGATAGCCACAGTGGTAACCTTGATCCAATTAAAATTTTGTAGTCTGGCCAGAAAGTAGATTTCCTATAAGGTATATTGTATATTTTTCAGTATATTGCATAATACACTTTTTAATAGATTTACCTTCTTATATTTGTTTTTGAAACACCTGGGATTTAGCAGCTTGTATTTTGAAAGTGGCAGGTGTGTTAAAAGGACACTGCCAATTACTTTATTACTATGCATTGTGATTGTTTAGAATACAGTCTTAGAAGTTTGAAAATATAATATCCTTCCGTACCAGTTGTGTCCTTTCCGTTTGGCAAACTGCAGTTTTCACTCCCTCTGCTGTCTTTATGGGCCCAGTCCAGCAGTTTTTTACTCAGATTCTTCCACTGATTATAAAGGACTGCAGGATTGGACTTTTGATTTGTTTTTCCTTGGCCTTGATTTTGCAGTGAGGTCCATGGAGCTCTGTACTGGGGCAAGAGTCCACCCATGTGGAAATTACTGCAGAACTGTCCATCCAGGTCACTGAACATCATCAGTACATCTCTGGAAAGGTTGCTTAGTTAACTATTACTACGAAGGGAAGCTCATATGCTATTTGTGGTCTTATAAAAATGATTTTAATTTCTTAGCAACAGTTTTTCTTTCTCTTATGGATATTTAGGCATTTAGCACCAGAATATAAATTTAAATTAGGGCCAATTTAGGGGACCTAAATTTCTCAGTATTCTCTCTTTTAACTAATTCCACCACCTCCTTATGGACATGTTAAAGGCAGCTCCATTGTGTTCTTCATGAAGAAATGGATAGGCACCTATAGAATTTGGAAAAATTAATATGTATTCACTTTCTTGAACTGGGCATTTGAAGCCCAAAATCAGTTATCTACAGCATTATTTTAATTTAGATCATTTGATTTCTACATTTCATGTCTAGTTTTGATAGCAGTGGAATCTGGCTTGCTTCAATCTTGCAAGAAACTTCAGCAATTATATCATGAAGTACATATCTATACATCCACTGATGTATAGGTCTGAATAGAGCAAGAAAAGAAAGAAATGGTCCTCGGCTAATCCAAAGCCCTGATACTGCAGATTGTTCTGTGATATATTAAAGTCACTGGGACCCCGTACAGATTTCCTCATACAGAGTGGCTTGCAAGATCAGGGACTAATTAGAAAGATAACACAAAATACTTTAGGACAACCCAGAGGAAGTCAGTTTTGGAACCTTTTTTTGTAAACTTGAATACTTCGATAGTGGTTTGGTGACCATACTCGGCCCCCAACCCCCTTATGTGGCTTAGCATTGTGGGTGTCTTGTTTTGCACAATAACATGCATGTTGCTGGTTGTTGTTGTTGGGTTTGTCACTACCTACTGTTCTGGAATTGTTTGGATGCCAAATCCAAGTAATCACCTCTCAGGATAATAGATAGGGATCTGGGATTGTAATGTAGTTTCAGTACCCGTATTTAAATACTAATTAAATGGCACTGATTCGGGGATCACAATCCGAATGATTCTAAAAAGGCTGGAGTTGCATGTGCATAGCCTATCTAGATCAGATTTTTGTCACATCTCTAATTCTTATCTTGCATAGGAATGTCACAGAAATATTTTGAGCAATTCGTTCCTTTCAAAGGGATTTTTCATTTTGAACTGTATAGAGCATAAAACAAGTGTATATTTTATTCTTACAAAGGATCTTACTTTCCTGTATTAAATAATCTGAGAGCATTTCTATATTGTTGTTGTCATTGGATCAGGCATCTCATTAATTTAAAATGTTATAAGGCAGCATGCCACAGACTTAAGGTTGCCTGACACTTTCTATTATAAGACCCTATTTTTAATTGCTATAACTTACCAAACTTTAACCATCTAGGATGAAATTTTCCACGCACAGTATCTGCCTCAGTATGAACTTTTTTAATAGTTCAGCCACTTCTGAAAATGTGGTTAGAAGACAATGTTATTTTGCCAGGTTTTTTTAATCTTGTCAAATGATTAACAGACCCAGATTCTTACTGTGTGTGATTCAGACTTCAACCTGGATCTCCTATTTCCCAAGGGGTGTATATGGAGGGGAGGGGAAGAGAATTGTCACTTTCAAATAATAATAATAGTTGAAAAGTTCCCAAGCAGCTTTCATATTATTCCCATTTTACAGAGGGGGGAACTGAGCCACAGAGAGCTTAAGATATTGCCTAATCTGAGATGACCATGGCCTGATTTTTTTTCAGAGAATTTCGCATTTTATTTGTTCAGAGCACAGTTCCCATTGACATTCAGCTATACCTATAGCTGTGAGAGTTCAGGACTTCCACAAGTCAGACCCCAGAAAATGAGGGAAACAAAAGGTTAGTAGCTACATGTTAAAAGTCTGGTTTAAGTGATTTCCCCAATATGGCACAGTGGCAGAAACAGAATCCAGGTTTTCAGAGTGGCATTAATTTTCCTTAACCATAAGACTAACCTTCCTCTTCCTGCCTCATTCACTAATACAGTTGGGTGACTTTTTTCACCTAATAGCAAATTTGCCCAAAAATGTGGTTTCAGGGAGACCAAAAAACGACTTATGAACTCAGGTCAAATTTTGGCAAATAGTTTTGGCCAATTACAAAATGAGGGATTATTTTAAAGAAATTGAAATGGTTCATTTTGACATTTTCCAAATGAGCTGGTTTGACTTTTTGTTTTGAAATGTTTCATTTATAAATGTAACTGTATTTTAATAGATCCCCAAAAGGGTGAAAACTATCTAAAATTTATCAAAACAAAATGAAAAACTGAAATTTTTGTTTTGAGTCAAACAAAATGTTTCATTTGACCAAAACTGAATTTTATTTAATTTTATTTTAGTGAGAAAAACAAAAGTCAGTTTTGGTTAGAAACTAAACAACTTCTTCTTGATTTGGCCACCAAACCAAAAAATCATTTATTCGTTTAGTTCTTTTCTCTAACACCTTTCAAATTCTACAACAAATGAAACAAGTGTCCTGCAGACGGCCATCTCCCTTACTGCACAACCCTGATTCATTCCCAGAGTATCATCCATCCTGTGCATGGCAGTGTAGTGCTAAGTTTTTTATATGTAATATAATAATGCTTAATATCTCAAAGAGAAGTAGGAGTTAGTGAGATTCATATGTTCA